AATGTAAAACCTTCTCTAGTTAGATGTTGTCAATATTGCCTGCTTTTACTACTGCGTGATATACTGACAGCTACTGCTTTCCCCGTGCGCTATGGATCTTATTTGTCCTCTTGTTACGCCACTGGGGGGAAAAGCATAGAATTAAATTCATGTTCATGATGTAATTTGAGTAATTAGAATATATCTAAATATTAAAAAGACATTTCAAATTTCTCACAGAAACTACTGGTAGGTTTTTTATGTTTATCTCCTAAAACCAGCAAACGTAGACTTCCTTATATGAGATACAAAATGGAAATATCAAAGCTTTCCTTTTTTTATTACTGCAGACAAAATACCTGTTTTGCTGAATATGGAGAAAGTTTGGAACTTATAATTTTTTAAAATTAGTAGGTTTTCTTGTGTAGAAAACATGTAAAGGGCATCTGCTACATATGCAGCAAATGTATGCTTAATATATAGCTACATAAGTAATGTAAAAAATAATCACCTGGGAACATCTAAATTCAAACAATTTCCAAATATTTATGGGTAATAAATTTCATTGTGATCTCAATTTTTAAAATTTGGGATGTATTGCAATAAATATATCTCTCCCTTAGTTTGCAAAAAGACTTCGTGAAGTACATTTCATGGATAATCCAAAGATTCTCCATTTTCTACCTGCATAGACCAGCAAGGGAAATGTGGGAAGTTTTGCATACATACTGCTTGGATGGCGATTAAATCTAAAATAGCCCTGAATGACTTGGAGGAAAGCTTAGTGGCATCTGGGAAGGTGCTGTTTGTCACATTGTAAAAGGTCTGAAAGGTATCCCTCAGTGCAGGAAAATTACATGTTTGGCCTAGCTAAAGACATCTACCGTGCATGGGACAGCCACCTACTATAATAAATACCATTCCATTGAGTGAGGAACAGCATTTAGATTCAACTGTCAAACTCAAATTGGCATTGCTTTAGTATTATACATAATTCTATGTATAATTATAATACATAATTATGTTAGTATTTGAATCATAATACATATTACTTGCTAAACTTTTAAGAGTTCAAGTTTTAAAATATCTGAAGTTAACAAAAACATCATCATATTGTTGAATTTGTCAGGTTTGTGCTGATTGCCAGACCACTTCAGCTTTCTTCATGCCTTTGCATATATGAAGCACTAGTGTAGCAGTATTTGCTTAGCTTCTAATTTTGGTTTGCTTTTTGTGTTTTTTCTTTCTCTCTCTTGGTTGTGCCGTTCTTCTTCCCATGATACTGAAAATTCCGTGCATCACCTGTGATACCCCCCTGCTCCGACCATTCAGCTGTTGGTGAAGGGGGTACATGAAACTCTGGTAGCTCAGAGAGTTGTTCCTGCTCTCATTACTCTCTCCAGTGACCCTGAAATGTAAGTTTCCTGACTGTCTTATATACCTAGCATCCCTCTTAAAACTTAGGAAGAAATAACCATCAGTTCTGTTTCTTATTCTAGCTGAACAAAAATTTAATTACTTTTAAACAAATGTAACTTTTAAATCACTTATTTGTACATAAAAAGGTTTACTGCAACCCCTAGAACTAAACTGGATAAAATTGCTGAATAAACTTGAAATAGAAAACTAAAATCAATGTAATTTAATTTTATTTTTTTTATATTTAGTCATATTCTCTTACATCAGCTCTAGCAGAAAGCTGAATATTAATATGTTCTGTAATGCTATCATCTTTAGTACTGCAAAATTAAATATCATCTGTATTACTGAAATGCAAAATAGTTTTGACTCTAATTTCTGATAGACAACCGTAGTACTTCATTTCCTGGACATTCTGATGCGATTATTTCTTTCAAGCTAAGGAGGGATGCTTTGCTAATCTCACTAACAGGTTGTTACTAATAAATGCTAGAGCATGAATAGAGTCTTAATGGTTTTAATGTCTTGTGTGGGTGACTAAACCAAGAAAAACCCCAAGAGTCTGCCTGCCCATCCTCAGTCACAGCTAACCCACTTCTTCAAGTTTACCAAACCGTTTTTTATTGCATGTTGACTGGTTTACAGCTGACTCTTCGAGGCATGAATGAAGCCTTAGTTGACAAGCGGGTTGCTCCGGCCCTTGTTACCTTGTCCAGTGATCCTGAATTGTGAGTTTCAGATTGAGACCTTGAGTTAATCCTGTCTGTCTTTTTTCCTGGTCTGCTTTTTTTGTTTCGTCATTGCTAGAAACTAATGTAACTTAAAGCACTAATTTTTTAATTTTCCTTTATTTTTAATTAATTTTATTCTTAATGTTTGATATATCTTAAAGACTCTCTTCTTCTGTTGTAGTTCAGTAAGGATTGCTACAATTCCTGCTTTTGGGACCATCATGGAAACTGTTACTCAGAGAGAGGTAAGACACCTGTTGTCAGGCTGTTGTTTTTATAGCATAAGAAGTGAGTGATTTTTGATACATCCAGAAATCCAGTAATTTGTTAATGAACTTGGAGGGGGGGGGGGGAAAAAAACCAGCAGCAGCTTATAAATTATTTCTTCCTTTGTTATATCCTCTTCCAAAAAGCTTTCCAGTTTTGCAATGATCTTAAAAACATTTCCTTCTAAATAACAAACCAAACATAAACAAAGAAAAACAGTTATGTAGAGAGGGAGGCCTGTGCTAGAAGATGGGAAATCCCATGCTCAAAATGTTTTTTAAAACATTCTTCAGTACAGTTGAGAAATCAAAGTCCATTACATCCAAATAAAACAGCTTTACTTTAAAGTGCTAACCAAAAACCACTTTAAATAAAAAACAAAAATCATGATGGGATTCAATTACCTCCAAATAAGTATATTGTACCATTTTAGATGCTTTAGGATATCCTGCTTAGTTTCCAACTACTTTAGAAAGGCACAACTCTCTTGTAGTTCCTGTTATATCTGCTGGTTTAGCCCATGATGTCCAAGATGGCATTAAAAGACATCATAGTGACAGAACTGAAATAATCCTTGAGGATAATATAGATATGCAATTCCTCTTTCTTTTTTAAATGACAAAACTTTGGTAATAGATTGGAATTCTGAAAAAGACTCCCAGGATTCTGCTGTAAGCATCAGAAATACTGTATTTTGTTTTATATAACTGTATAATCAAATTTCCTCTTGAAGACCTTGCAACTTTTTGTAGAGCTTGCATTCTTCCTGTAATTTCAACATACTCTAAAAGAATGTGTTTGAGGAAATGTGAGTAAGAAGTCAGTGATGACTCACAAGTACTTGGAAGATGGATAAGTTACAATTTTGTAGCTTGGAATGCATGCCTATAATCAGTCTGGGAAGAATACTGTTTTGTTACCACACAAAAATTACTGTATCCATTGCACTAATTATAATAAGCCTTAGAGTACAGAGGTGATATCGCCTTCCAAAATGTATCAGAAAATGTTATTTTTACAACTTTGAATGCAAATTAAATACTTAGGTCATCTTACATATATTTGTATTTGCAGTTTTTCTAGCCTTTTAGTTGAGAAATCTTTTTAATTCTGTTGATTTTATGATGCTTACTTATGCGTCTCTGTCTTCTGCAGAAAAACTTTCAGTATACTAATTGACATTAAAAAAGGTTAATTCAGTTCTAATTAAATGGGAAACCGCCCAAAGATATTAATAGTAAGAGGGAAACTTTAATAGCAGGTAAAAAATGTGAGTATTAAAACCAAGGAAACCTCAGGAGGAAAGTCTATATGGAAGCACTTGTCTATTGTTAAAGATAGATCAGATTAAAACACTGTTAACAGTCTTTAAAATGTAGAGCTGCATCGAAAAGTTTGGAAGTCAGAAGAAACTGTAAATTAACAGAAGGTCCAAGTTTTATCATCTGAAATACGGAATATTCTAGAAATACTCTGAATTGACCATAATGGTTTCTAGCATCTTCATTCTTTTGTGTACTTTTTATTTCTCTGGGAATATTTAAGCTTCTAGAAAGAGTAAAAATGCAGCTGGCATCTTTCCTGGAGGACCCTCAATATCAAGACCAACATTCTCTACATACAGAAATCATAAAAACATTTGGAAGAGTTGGACCTAATGCTGAGCCCCGATTTAGAGATGAATGTAAGTTGCATCAGTGGGAAGATGCAGTCTTCTTCTTTCTGCCCCAAAGCTAATAGTATGCTGCTTATAGTGATTTTTTTTTTAATTTACAAAAAAAGTAGATGGAAACTCTTGTTTTCAGAGATTGATGTGTCCCCATATTTAAGAGTTTGCTACTATAATTTTCACTTTACCTAATGTTGGTGTGTGTATATAGAACACCAGCACATGGTGATGAATGATTTCAGAGCTGGAAGAGACTGGTCACTTTCCTGCAGAGTATAGTTTTTTAATCACTTCACATGTAAAATGCCTTCCTCTCTCCCCTCCCATATTGCTTCACCCCCTGCTGCATAAATTTCAAGTATTCCACACATCCTAAATGTAAGTGCATCCTAGATTAACAAAACGGCTTTTTTCCATGGCCCTTGAAATGTAAAGCACATAGTCTAACAATTGACTTTTTTATCTTAAAGATACTTGTAAACAAGACATGGGGAGCTGTAATGCCTCCCAAATGCAGGCGTCTAGTTTAGCAGGCTAAACTCATTAAGACAGGCTTCCTCTATAGTCAGTGAAGATTTTTCATGACATGCCCATCTCTGACACAAGCTTATCAGCTGTATTTGTAAAATAGAAGCATATTTCAGCATTAGAGTAATAATGTTGCGAAATATTTTCTGTAAACTGTTACTATTTCAAAGGTACTTTGAGGTACCTTTTTATTTTAGGTGGCAATACCACGGTTTTATTTCAAGTTTGAGTTGATCAGTTAAATCCACAAGGGCAGTCCCATCAAAAGCCGTTATTTGCAGTTCTTATTCCACACTGATGTGTGATGCTTCGATGCCTGCAATTGCTGCTTAGCAACTGTTTAATGCTAAGCAAGTCTATGGAAAGCAATTTCAAATACTTATTCCAGTATTTACTTTTGCAGTTGTTATTCCACACTTGCACAAGTTAGCCTTGGTCAACAACCAGCAGTCTGTGGATTCTAAGAGACTGGATATTGCTACACACCTGTTTGAAGCCTACAGTGCTCTTTCCTGTTGTTGTATCCTTTTTTTATGGGAAGTTTAGCTGTTAATTCTCTGCTGGGGGAAGAAGATTAATACCTCAGAAATAACTAAGTTTGTCTTTAAATGTGTGATGTAAAATATGATCTGCTCAGTCCAAAGAACAGGTTTTCACAGAAGGTGGAACTGATAGGTACTTTAAAAAAAACAAAACACAAATCCAAAACCCTTGATCTTAAACAGTAAGATTAAAAAAAAATAAAAAGATATGGCTCTATGAAATATATAAAGGTAAATATGTTTAAGACCTTTTTTCGTTTTTATTAGTTCTGAAGTGGCAAATGCTGTTCTGTTTTCTTGGGTTTTGCTGCTGTAGCTTGTTCCTGTGTTCAGTAGAATAAAACTATAATTTCAGAACGCAATCCTTATAATACCTTAACAACCTGGTTTTTAGTTATTTCAGAGGATTTAATGGTCAATCACTTTTTACCTGGACTTAAGTGTTTACGAACTGACATGGAACATCTCTCACCAGAGCATGAGGTGAGCAGCCATGTTTATTAACTGAGTATGAGATGTAGATGGCAGCAAAAGTTGACGTGTAATGGCATTTAAAGCGAAAAGTTAAGGAGAGCTACTCATAAGTAGTATCATAGCTTTGAGGGTTGTTTTGATAAGGAGTAGGGCACATGATTTAAAAACAGTAAAATAATTTAAAATGTATTTTTTAGCTGAGTGCCTCTGGAGAGAAACACTCAACTGTCAGAAATGAAAGTAGAAACACAGATCATTGCAGACTGAAGGAAAAGGAAATGTTTTTACTATCTGCTTTTTCATCAAGACAAAGATATGCTAAAATCACTGGCCACAATATGTCCAAGGAAATGCAGATGAAAATTGGTGGAGTGCAGGAGAGAAATGACAGGCAAGCTCAGGAAAGAGGATGATGGAAGTGTAGTCCTGAAATATATGGGATGGACCTCATACACAGGTGTACTGTGTCTGAGCCTGGGCTCCTCAGTGTAACAGAAGCATGGACATACTGTAGAGAGTCCAGCAAAGGGCCACAAAGATGATGAAGGGACTAGAGTCTCTGTCCTGTGAGGAGAGGCTGAGAGAGCTGGGACTTTTCAGCCTGGAGAGGAGCAGGCCTGGGGGATCTCATCAATGTGTATAAATACATAAATACTTGAAGGGAGGGTGCAAAGAGGAGGCGGCCAGGCTCTTTTCAATGCCAGGCCCGGAGGCAAGGGGCACACACTGAAACACAGGAGATTCTCTCTGAACATCAGGAAACACTTTTTCACGGTGAGGGTGACCATGTGCTGGCACAGGTTGCCCAGAGTGGTTGCACAGTCTCCACCCTTGGAGATACTCGAAAGCCATCTGGACATGGTCCTGGGCAACTGCCTGTAGGTGACCTGCTTGAGCAGGAAGGTTGGACCGGATGGCTTTCAGAGATCCCTTCCCACCTCAACCATGCTGCGATTCTGTGAATTGTAAAAAGCAGATCATAATGAGCAGACAGGACAACATGGGAACTAACAAGATCTTCCCTCTTAGAAGGAGATAACAGAAAGTAGCAAGAGAAGAGTTAGCAGGAGAAGCTGACTTAAGAAACTTGAAAATTTTGACCATATGTCTATGTACTTTTTTGTAAATACTTAAAGAGGATGAACACTAAGAGGGATTGAAACACATAAATATTAAGTCAGTAGCTGAAAACAAGAGACATAATTTAGTTGCATGTTGAGAAAATCTTGACAGTATCACACTCCAAGTGATGGAGGAAAAGCTTTAATCAAAATGTACAAAGGAATGCCTTTTTGGTTTTTGAAGGCTAATACTGCAGTTCAGGAATTACTTTGTATTTGACAACAGTAATTACTTTTCCTTATGACTGCAAATGTGACATAATTAATAGGACTATATTCTCTAGGACTTTTAAGTTCTTATACTTGGTAACGAAGTCCCTTCTTCCAGTTATATTTTTTAGTCTAATAGCCTATAGTCTCATTCTTTTATTTGCTCTATATTATTATATTATTTTATATTATTTACAATATGTGGAAGTAGAGATTAATTAATTTGAGGAACTTTCAGACCAAAAAAGGAAGGAATCTGAGTTCAGAGGGCTGAGCCAGAAGGGACAGTAGTGACCTGAGCATCAAAGGCGACAGAACTGCACTACTTTACCCCAGGCAGCACTGAAGGAGGTCTGGCATTGATGATACTCTGTATTCAGAGAGAGATGGGAGATGTGTTGTGTTTTGGGAAGTCTAAGAATATATCTGAAAGTTAAAGGCAAAAGTTGGATTTAGTTTAGTTTTCTTTGTTCTGTCATATTCCCTAATGGGATAACTGATACAAATACTAATACTTAGTGTTTGTTTAGTAGTTAGTGCAACTTATACAATTTAAGGGCATAGTCAGTTCAAAAGATGCCTTGAAGTAGAATAAAAGAGCTTATTTGATGGAGTTTGAGTCTTGTAGCCAGAGAAGGTACTGAAGACTTAAAAATAAAGACAGCTCTCAATCCTCCTTTACCACGTTCTAATTCACTGTGATTGTCTTCAGACATGATGCCAAGTGCTTTATTTTTTACCCAGAGGGAAACATAAAAATATTTGCTCCCGCTCCAGTGGGTTAGAAAACTCACTACAGCTTTTACTGTAGAAATGAAAATCTGGTGCTTTATCAGCTGCAACAGAGTATTTGTAGGCACCATGATAGAGACCTCTGACACCCAGTTAGTTCCAGTGTTTGTCTTTCAAGCCTTCCATCTTAAAATTATGTTTTCTGAAGTAAATGTGATTTACTGTTTCAAATAGCCAGACATTTGCATGAACAGAATTAATCTTTTTCTAATTATCTTGGTAACTGCAGTGTTATTCATGATTCAAATGGCATATCAGTTACAAAAATGTATTTTCTCATTCACAGAGCTCTTGTGGCTCTAAACATTAGTACAGAGTTTATCCTCATCTTAGAAATGTAACATTTGCAAAATTGGCTTGTGATCCTATCGGGCAGCATTTACCACTTATCCCTCATGTTTGCTTTCCTTTCATTCATATAAACAAAAGTGCAAGTTGAAAATTTAAGCCAGACCCTCTCATCTTTAAAGTAAACATTTCACCTTGCACAGACATTTCAGATCTTTTGTCAGCATCACTAATTCCATATTAAGGTCCTTCTTCCCCCTTCCCTCCTCTCTATTCTCTCCTACTTCTCTACCTTCTGTTTCTTTTCAAAATAATTGGATTTTGAGTTGCATGGTAGTGAGACACAATCAGTACTGGATAAAAATATTTAGTCCATTTGCAGTATTGTTTATAACGCTTAAGCACACCTTATGTCTCTTAAATGTCCCTAAATACAGTTACATATCTCAAATATCTCTCTTAAAGGATGTCTAAATAATTTCATAGTCAGAACTATGACCAAACAAAGAGAACAAAAGGGAATAGATGTGAGCAGTATGTGCAAGTATCATTAATGTAAAATTCCCATGTGATACTATATTTATACATTTCCTCTGTTTCACCCTGAACTTTAAGACAAATTAATTTGGGGAAGAGGGAAGAATTGCTCCACTTCATACAAGAATTATGCAGCTTTCCCAGAAGGAGCTGTGCAATGGATGGGGTCTCCATCCCGGTATTCAAATGATTCTGGGTCCTTGCTGAATTTTTCTCCCCCTTCATCAAGACCTCATGTTGTTGATGTACAAGAATGTAGATGTTCTAAACATTTATCTGAATCTAGAAGTGCTCCAATGCACAGGTAGAAATACTAAGTAACAGCAATTATGGCTACTGTGCTTAAAAATTTCAATTCTCTTTGATACATAAAGAAAAGCTTGCTTTTTCACTGAAATTTTGAATGCATTTCTCTTTACCTCTGTAGTCTTGAGTTTAACTACTTGCATTATATTTTATGTAAATGAAGGGCAGCAAATTTAGCAGTGAGAGTTGCAGTCCTGTTACTGGTACACAGGTTTGAATGCTGCTTTCTGAAACATTCAAGGGTGTATAACACCTGCTACCCAAACTGTTTTAAATGTTGAAGTAATACTTTTGGAGAAATAGAATGAACAGTGGCACAGATATACAGACTGGCCCACATCTTATAGTGTAGTAAATGGTTTGAAAGGATATGTTGTGCTGTGGCTGCCTAATAGGGCTTTGGCAGAAACCACCTTTTTCATGTATATAAATATATTTAAAAATAGGTATCACTTTGTAGTAACCACTAGTGACTGATTGGTATTTTAGAGATTGTAATTAGGTTTTTTCATTTATTTTATGTATTCAGGTTTTGGTAAGACACTACTGATTTTAGTTGCTTGTAGCTTTGAGATTTTAAGTTTAGTGTCTCAAAGAAAGTGCTTAGCTTTATCCTAAGTTGTGAACAGAGAAAGTTTCCATTTATGAAGTGGGGTACATGTCTATATGTGTTTACAGTTTCACACTCTGCATTGCAACTGTTTTGCCAAAGTGTTTCAAATGCTTTTGTCTTAATGTGTTAAGGCAGTACTGTTGTGGGCAGGGCAGGGAGTTATATACCTGTCCAATTAATTGTATGATTTCCTTTAAAGCCTGCTATTGGGAAAGATTCCTTTATTTTTGGTATGCTGGAGAAATGTAAAATGTCAGTGTGGGGGTGTTTAGTCTTAAATATTTTGCAGAAACCTTTAATGCTGCAATTGCTTAAGTAAAGAAAAAAAGTCTTGATTCATAGAAATCCTGGAAGACACAAGTGAAATGATACCAAGTTTGCTTTAGCACTTCCTTTCCCTTAAGATGTCCCAGGGTGGCATCGCACTTTTTTCTTTTCTTTCCTTGCTTTTTCTTTCATGCATAATGTTGGTAAAGATAACCAATTTTAAAAGGCACTTGAAAACTCTCTATAGAAAAAGAGAGGGAAGATGAATGTTTGTCTAAGTTAATTGCTAACAAAAGAAGTATTGTTTGAAAAAAGGAAGATGAGGAGGTGTGTCACAGAAGTGAGTTTGCTCTTGCTGTATTTTAAAAAGCCAGGGAGGCAGGAGGGAGTCTTGAACTCTTGTAACTATTTAAAAAACATTTTCTTCCTTAAAGTGTTTTGAATGATTTTGTTGTTTCTAGCCACAAGGCATTACCAGATAGCTGGAGCTTAAATGCACTTGAAAAACATCAGAGAAACTTTTTAAACAATTATGCTAATGTCAGAATTAGTAGTAGAGTAGATTTCACACAAAGTGTTTATGCAAAAGAAAAAATGTCATGTATATCTCTTCCTTATCTGTCTTAGGTTATTTTAAGCTCCATGATAAAAGAGTGTGAACAGAAAGTGGAGAACAAGACCGTCCAAGAACCACAGGGGTGAGACTTCCACTTCCCTTTTTTCTGTGCCTCCAGACTAATGTTCCATGGAGTATATTCCATAATGGTGCCCGAGGTTTGTGACCAGAAATCCCACACTGACATATTCTATATTTGAAAGCAGATTTTAGGAACTTGAATTCAGTTTGTGATTGTTTCTGTCTCCAGTGTAAAACACAGGACAACACATATTTATTTGTATCATAGCAATGACGTTCTTGTTTTCCAGTGTTGCTTTGCTCTTAATTTTTTATCCATTTAAAGCATTAATTGAATTTCTGTCCTGAATCTGAGAAAGCTGGGAGTGCTTGGCCTAAGTGCTCAGAGCAGCACATATGGCATGCACCTTGCAACCCTCTTTCATGGGGGTGGCCTGCAGGCTGAAGGGATTGTTCTGGTTGTGGTAATCATAATCGTAATACTCATAATTGTTCTGCTCCAGGCTGCTGTCTTTGCCTGCATGTGACTAGTGCATATGAGAACAGTTTCTCCACTGTATAAACTAACTGACCTGTGTGAATACGCTGTTTAGTAAATATGTTGGCTTTGGGAGAATGCCACCTACGTTGCACTTCAGTAAAACACCCATTCTACAAATGCACAGTAAAGCCAGCTCTCTGTGAGGCATCAGGCACATGGTGTATATGCATCAATCCGTCTTATGTGGTAGAGGTGGTATCATATGTGCGTGTCTCCTGATAACAAAAGAAGGTAACAGAAGGTAACAAATTGAGAAAGCTAAGCATCATTATGATGTAGTGTATGCATTCCTTTGCCTGCTTGTTGCCTTGGAATGGCGTAGCATCAGGTAATTTCTCATGGATTATTATATAACATAATAAATCCTTAGCAGTGTTGCCAGGAGGAGTTTGAGAAGAAACCGTAGTGTTTGAAAAAGAAGAATCTGTCCTCAGTCCTGATACTATACCATAGGAATCGAGACAATTACTGAAACTTGGTTTTGTCATGCTTCCATTTCTGTAACAAATTGATAGAATTTACTTTTTGAAAGAGCTCAGGCAAAATCCTGGAAGCAACTGGTAGTTTGAGAACAACTGCAATAGGAAAGGTGTACAAGAATTGAACGGAAGAGACATGGTACGGAAAAAGAGTCAGTCTCTCATGCACCAAATAAAATATCTCAGGCTTTACTCATGGTAATTAGCCTGTTTACTGGTGTAGTTGATAGTGTAGAAAGAACTGAATCCATTTGAGACTCGAGCATCAGGTCAACTCTTAAAGGTGTACTAGAAATGAACTTTAGACTTTGGAAGTGAAATAATTTTAAGACAAAAAATGTTCAGATTCTACAACAAATCATAGTCCATAGTGTATCTGTTCTAATAAGGTAGTTGGTTCTGTCTAGTCATATAGAATTTGTGTCTAAGGGAGAAGGAATACAAAAACTTCAAGATCTGAAGAATGCACTGTTTGTCACCTTCTTTCCTTTTTCCTGTTCATGTGGCAATATTATGAAGTATGGACTGTACTGATCAAATGTATTCCAGTTGAGTGGCTATTTTCACGATGAAATAGGTATTTCTTTGACATACTAGTTATTCACAGAATAAGAACCGGTTTATTTGACTTAATCACTCCACAGGCATACTTCTTGCTTGCAACATAAATAGCCAGACAGTCAAGAACCAAAAAATGCATGCATTCATGCTGGTTTTTTTTTTTTTCCCCAGGGCTTTAATATGTCACTTTCTCAAGCTTTGTACTTTTGCCCTTACCCTTTCTGCCTTCTCTTAAATAGAGCTTTCTAGCATGCATACCTGTGTGTGTCCCCAACATCCATATTCTGAATGCCCATCCCCTTCCTGTATCCATCAGATTCTTCAGCAGCTGTGTATTTGCTTTTTATTTTTGAAGAATGGTGAATGCTTAGCTTGCCTTCAGCTATGTTAAAGGTTGGCGCTTAAGCCAGCTGTTTCCTCAGAAAACAACCTACCAATGATTCTTGGCAAGATAGCAACTTGTAGTTGCCCCATTAGACCCATCCTAATTTTGCAAGTAAGCATTAGTTTTATCAAGGTCTCCCCTTGGTACTATGTATCTTGCATAGTAGGTACCCAATAGGTATAGAATCATAGAATGGTTTGGGTTGGAAGGGACCTTAAAGATCATCTGGTTCCAACCCCCCTGCCATGGGCAGGGACACCCTCCACTAGACCAGGTTGCCCAAAGCCCCATCCAACCTGGCCTTGAACACTTCCAGGGAGGGGGCATCCACAACCTCTCTGGACAACCTGTTACAGTGCCTGACCACCCCCATAGTGAAGAATTTCTTTCCTTATATCTAATCTAAATCTACCCTCTTTTAGTTTAATGACATTACCCCTCATCCTATCACTCCATGCCCTTGTAAACAGTCCCTCTCCAGCTTTCCTGTAGGCCCCTTTAGGTACTGGAAGGCTGCTGTAAGGTCTCCTCAGAGCCTTCTCTTCTCCAGGCTGAACAACCCCAACTCTCTCAGCCTGTCCTCATAGGAGAGGTGCTCCAGCCCTCTGATCAGCTTCGTGGCCTCCTCTGGACTCGTTCCAACAGCTCCATATCCTTCTTATGTTGGAGGCCCCAGAGCTGGACCCCAGGTGTGGGCTCACAAGAGTGGAGTAGAGGGGGAGAATCACCTCCCTCAACCTGCTGGTCACACTTCTTGTGGTGCAACCCAGGACACGGTTGGCTTTCTGGGCTGCAAGCGCACATTGCCAGCTCATGTTGAGCTTTTCATCCACCAACACCCTCATGTCCTTTTTCTCAGGACTGCTCTACACAGAATCTACTGCATATTTATCTTGTTACAGGATTAGAAAACCCACCTAAATTTATGCTTATTAGTTATTAATTACTGCATCATCTGCTATTGGTTTAGCATCTTTAAATTAGCAGGCATGCTCCTCGAGGGTGTGGGGGGTGTAATTTGCACAGTCCTTTAATTGGGTAGGTGGTGGTGAACCCGTGCCCCCTGCCAACTTTCCCTTCCCCTGGTTACTGGCAATTCTTGTTGACTTCAGGCCTCTCTGGCAATCGCCCAGCTCTCAGCGCCTGCTGGGGCAGGATGTTTCCCTTTTTTCAGGTTTTCAGCTCTCTCTCCTTCAAGGATACTCTTTAGCAAAGCATGCTTTTTATCAGTCTTTCAGCTCTTCTTCAAAGGTATAATCGTCAGGAAAGCAAGTAGCGCATTTAACCCTAAATTAAACAGTGTCTAAGCACTAACCCAAACACATTTCTGTCCCTGTAAAGTGGAAAGTTCTACTTTTGGGTATCACTCTCGGTCCATTCTCTGCCTAGCCTGTAGTTGTGCTTAGGACTGCCCCGACCCATATGCAGGACCTTGCACTTGGACTTGTTGAACTTTATGTGGTTCACACAGGCCTGCTCTCAGGATGGCATCCCTTCCATCCAGTGTGTTGACTGCACCACACAGCTTGGTGTCATTGGCAAACTTGCTGAGGGTGCGCTCAATCCCACTGTCCATCACTATCACTGTAATTGTGGTAAGGCAGAATTAACAGCCAGACTCTTTGAAGATCTGATGCTAAGCAATTGCTGTAGACTCTCACCAACCAACCTGTGCAAGGACATCCCTCCATGTAAACAATGACATAATATTTTAACTAACAAGTTGATTCATTAGAATCAATTGCATACATGAGCATGTATTACTTTGCAAATATCTCCCCTGCCTGGGTTTTATGGACTCTTTTTTTAATTGACAGACTGTCCAATATTCTTTTTGCATTTTCATTCTTTGTATGATAAAGAAGCCGCTGCCTCAGACTTTGACTATGTAAAGAAAAAAATAAAAGCAGTGTATGTATCTAAATATATAAGACTTTTATCTGATAAATGTTTTTTTGAAGTAAATTATTACTTCTTGAACAACTTCTTGACAGCCTTTTAGGAGAGGTCATTAGAAAATATGAAATTGATTCCTTCGCAGGCAAACATTCTGAAAGAAATTTATTTCTCTCTCAAAATGCAGCAAATGTACATGATATCAAACCGGTCTCTAATGAACACTGTTAACCTTAACCTGAAGGTTTTTAAATTATCTTACCTGTGTTAACTGTGAAACTTAAGGTTATGAAACAGAATTCCTTGACTGAGCTCTCCCTAAGTGGTTCTCTTCAGTTGGACAAGATTTTTCATTTTATTTTGGTTTTTTAATGTGTGCTGTTACCTCTCTCAAATGTTTTAACCTATTTAGCTCATCGAAGCTATTCTCTGCGTGGCTAGAGTTTGAGTGATCAACTTTTATTTCATGTAGGGTTTAGACTTACCTTGCTTTAGCTTGTATCACTGCAGACATGTTAACCTAAATGCAAGAGGTCTGTATTACTTGAAATCCTTCTTATGAAAATATTCTGAAATTGCAGTTAGTCCTATTAAACCATTGCAGAAACAGATAAATGCAAATGTGATACAACATCCAGTGTATTTCTTTTAGAATGCAACTGCTGAAAACTGTAAGGTTTGAAAAGGTTAAGTCTTAGCAATGTGTTGCTTCATTCTTTAGTTAGCCTTCCTCTTTCTTACTCGAAATCAGGCTATGGTTGCAATCTTTTACTGTACAAAATTAACACAAAATATTTTACCACTGAAGAAATGACCTTTTCATATACACGAATATCTCCTTTTTCTTGCTAAGCCCATGCCAATTTCAGTTCCTAATTTCAGTGTTAAATATATATTTGACGAAGGATTTAAATGCTACTAGGAGATAAATTACCGATTTTTGTTAACAACATGACAATGCATGCACAAAACGAAAACTGGATGCAAAAGCAATCATAAGGTGTAGTTGGTTTTCTTGTCTTTGCCCCTTACTGTTAGAAAAGGTTGGTCAAATAATATGAGGTCACAGAAATATTTTTTTAAAGACAATTAAGTTTTGTCTTTTTAAATATTGGATAGCCACTTTTGGTAAATATATATATTACTTATTTTTTTTAGCAATTAACAAGGTATTTCAATCATGGGTAACAAATTATGTTACAAACTGATTTTTATAAAATGTCCAGTATGATTTTTTTTTTTCCTAAAGCTTCCCTATAAACAGGCAGAACTTTGTGTAGCATGCAATTGATCTAGACATTGGTCAAAAAATTGATGTTTACACATTATTTTTGTTTGTGAGTTATTTTTTGGTTTGTGGTTTGTTTTTTTTAAATAATGAGTAAATGCAAAGACTTTTATATAGGAGTACTTGTTTCAAACAAGGTATGTTATTGGGTTGTCTGATTATTTTTTAAAGACATGAGACTCAATTCATTTGATTTCATATTGCTTTTATTATTATGTTTAAATGTTCAATTTGTACAGTAATAGAAGTACTTTTGGGCCATATTTAAACTTTTAAGTATGTCAAGTGTTGTGGATTGTCTTTCTATTTACAGTAACATAATATTAGAAATATTAGAAAACATGAACTTCTAGACACTTCAGTTCTTAACTTTTAATTTTTAACATCAGATGGCTGATATCCCCCAAAACTGTTTTGAAAGTCAATTGGATGTTTCCTGGTTTCCTCAAGCTTATTCTGGATCATTAGAATAATGACAACACAGCTTGCTTAAAAGTGCAAGTTTGTCACCAGTTGCTAGACTTTCTTTTCTGAAGTGAGCAATTTTATTTTCTTAATGTTGCTAATGTTTGGCATGTACTGTAGTTCCCAAATCATTTTCCCTAGTTACACACAACTCTGGGATACATCATAGGCTGGAATAGCTTCTTGTCATTAGCCAGCTGATAGCATGTATAAACTATTATTTACATCATTTATATGCCCTTGCTCTATCATGAAATCAAGGGAAATTGCACAAGAAATCCATCTTACAGTAGTGATAACTTACCTGCTAAGTTTTATCAACTGGAAATATGCAATTCCTTAGTTGACTGTAAATGTTTAATCAAGCCAAAGATGTCTGGCTGTGTGATTGTGCCTGAAAGAAATATTTCATTTAAAGTTTATTAAATCATTTTGGAACAGCTATACATCTTCATCACTGGCTGCTAAATAGACTGAAAAGATTATTATTTTTAAAATAAAATGTTAATTTTAATCAGGTGTTGTCTAAAAAGAGATATAACCTGAGAACAATTTTCAACATTTTAAACTTTACTAAAAATTCAGACATCATACTTTCAATAAAATGATACTTAAGCACCAAATATTGGATAATGAGGACCTTTACAGAGCTTTCAGAAAATACCAGCTAATAATAATATTTTAGATAAGATGGTTGCTTTGAATAACCTGTGCCATTAATAGAAGAGGGACTGAAAAAAAATACCTAAGGGTATGCTTTGTGATTCTTTTTGGTATGCTGTGTGAGGTGTTCCTAAGGCCCCTCCAAGGACTGTCCATTAGGCATTGTGGAAATGCAGAAGACAGGGAGTCACTTCAGCTTACAAAGTAGAAGGGATGGGGGATACCTTTTCAGCGGATATAGTTCTGATACAATTAAGCTATCTGTAAATCCACAGTAGAACTTCAGTGAGAAGGTTCTCTTTTGTTTTTTTCAAGTTTTCTGTTTAAAAAGAACTAGAATTCATTACCACTAAGCACCTTTCTTTGTGGTATGAAATGGGAGAAAAATACTGAATGCATCCCTGCTACCTTTGAAGAAATAATTCAGATTCTGTTGAAGCAGTGTGGAGTTAACTTCACCTTGACATGCCTTGATGCAAAAGTGTCTAACAGAACTTTTTATAACCTTGCAGACCAAAAAGTCTGTTCCTGGAAGCTGGCCTGTGCCAGTAAGGCAGATCTTGTGGTCATAGGTATCATTTTGAAATGCAGAGTCCATGCTGAGCTCACAAGGGAGAATTTCACTGTTTTGTAAAATTGGCCCTGTCTAATGTTGAAAAACGTGTTTGCCATTTTAAATACAAGTATAGGAAGTATGGAATATTAATATTCCTGCAATCATACATTTGCCTTGTTGTACTCTGTCTTGAGACAGATTACTCCTACTGTGCTAATCAGTTACATATATCTGAAGTTGAGCTCACTGGTGTGTTGTAAATAAAAAAATCAGTTAAATTTGCAGCATTGGGATAATTTAACAAGTTGTTTGAAGTTGTAGGATCTTGCAGATTCAGCATTGATTGGGTTGCCTCTTCTAGTCCAGTCTGTGGGGAAAATTGTGGACTCTCCGTTGTCTTCTCTAGTATGTATGAAGTAGGAACTTTCAAGCAAAGGTAGTAGGAGTCACATTCACAACAACCAGGAGGAGAAATCTCTTTACCCAGCGAGCTGTAGACCTAGTAGGACTCAGTGCCCCAGAGTAGGGTTTACCACGAAATTTACAAGGGGAAAGCTGAACAAGTAATATAAAATAAAGATTCACTGGGAGTGACTTAGTCCACACCAATTTTAAACTCTGCTCAGGTGGAAATATTTGGAAAATAAAAGCGTTGGAAATTAAGGAGAAAGGTCACCGTTTTGTTACCTACCTTGCTTTTACTCTTTCCTACATGTCTGCTAGTGGTCACTGTTGGAGGCAGGATGCTTGGACTAGATAGATCCTTGGTCTGAACCAGTACTGTTTTTCTTACGTTAAATAAACAAGGATTGACATTTCCAGTGAGAAGGAAAAGCTGATCTTTCACAGAGGTTTTTGTCACTAGAACAATTGCCAAATAGCTAACAAATGCCAATGTGATGACTTCTAAAGGTAGTAAAAACCAGTGTGCACAAAAATAGTTTACAACTTTTCACGAGGACTGTGAGGGCACGATAATTCATTTAACAGTGTGTATCTGGGCTGAATGGTGATGGTTTTTCGATTCTTTTTGCTGGACTGGTCTTCTGTGATCTTGAAACCTCTAAAATGCAAAGACAATTCAGTTTAATAATCAACAGCAGAGTGTTCTTTTTTCGTTGTAGTCTTACGTCACTAAATCTTTTACTTGCCTAGCTCAATGTCGATTGCAGCGAGCCTTGTGAGTGAAGATACGAAGACCAAGTTTTTGAATAAAATGGGCCAGCTGACTACATCAGGTGCCATGTTGGCTAATGTGTTTCAGAGGAAGAAGTAAGATGGGAAGAGGAACGCCCAGCTAACACTAAGATGGACCTCACAGAGACTGGTTCCTGTACTTGAAGTACTTGCCTTTTAATTTCTTCTGTCTTATGTTCTTGTAGTATAATTTTATTCTAACCTCCAAAGATATTTGCACTGCTTTTGAATATCGCTGTGTATCTGTTAATTTTGGGTTAACTGTGGTTGATATAAAACTGAAATCATAGTCTGTACCAAGTCCCTGTTCTGTGTTCTTGTCTTTCCAGCATATTTTTTTTTATATAGTGGAAGGTTGTTTTTTTTTATTTTCTGACAGGATATCAGCAAATATCTGTATTATACATGGAGCTATTATGACGGTACTTAAAATAATGTAAATTTGAAGTCATTGTCATGAAGTAATAAAAGTGGAGATTACTTATGTATTTAAATTATGAAAGAGTAATGCAGATTTTTTTATTATGTTTCTAAAAAGAAGAGGAAGAGCCACCAGCATTTGTCTGTGCTTCTAGGGTTGTTTTTGTAAGTATTGTGCATCTTGAATCCAGAGGAATTGCAGTATCTAATGTACGAGACTGCTTGCACTGCATCAGTCTGCAAGGAATGCTCATGTTTCAGATGCTTTATGCTGACATTGTAAATGCTGTACAAAGTCCTTCAGATGAAATTCTCACATCTGTTGTGGTTTTTTTTGAGGGATGTTTTCTTTTGTTGGGGTTTTTGTTTTATTTTAAAGCACTTTAACAACCAGACTACACATCCAGAGGCACATCTGCTAAGTAAAGGAAAAATATGATAAATTAATAACTGTTAATAAATGTATAATCTACTTCACAGGGGTCCCAGTACAGTTCTGCAGGCAGAGAAAACTTATGCAGGAGACAGTGTGCTTTCATCTTGCACTCAGTGTGCAGTTCTGTGTATTGTGAAAGCTAAAATTAAGATATTTTGTTGTTTGGATTGAATCTCAGTTCAAATTTAATTTCCGAGTCTTTGAAATTATGTTAAGAGAATTTGACATGCAGTTTCTTTAAAATGTTAAGTAGGCTGCATACATACTTTATAAAAATGACTTTACTAGGAGTATCTTCAGCAACTACCAAATATTTTTGTTAGCAAGGAAGCATTAACAACTAAATCCTTTTATTCTTATGCAGCACTTTTTTTTTTTTTCCTTTTTATGTCAATGTAAGCTTCCAAAAGTAAACTCAAGTGCATGCATGAACTGGTATGAGGTATCAGAATATAAAAGCTCAGGCATTCTCTGACACGGTACCATTCAGTTGACATCTTTGAGGACAGGGGAGGCAAAAGGAGTGAGGGAAGAAAGTGTTCACTTCTGAAACAGAATGTGGATGGAGTAGCACTTCAGGTATTGCCCTTAGATGGAAAGAACAGAGATAATTTGAGGCTTCTGACTGCTCCGTGTCCGTGCCTGTGGGCTCCGCTGCCTGCCATGTTTGTGTTGTGACAGGGCCTGCTGCACACTTGCACACTGTTGGTCCCTTTGCACTGCCCTGGAACATTCTTCTTGAGGTTACAGACCGCTCCATGCCTTCGTGTTGCTTGTTACCATGAAAGTATACTTTTAGCAGACTGACTGTGAAATGGAGACATTCCTGAGGAATGGGAAGTGGTGATGTTCCTCTCTATTGTTCTGTTGTCAATAAAAAGTTTTGTATACCTGCCTTGTCTTGTTACTTCTAGTCTTCTCCAAAAAAGATTATCGTATCAAACCAGCTGTCACAGGAGACAGGTCTAATGTGCAGAAATTCTTCAGCCTTAACTGTTGGGTTTTTTGGTTTTGTTTTTTTTTACATAGCATATGGTGAACTGAACTTGCTAAATTTCCCATCTCGGTGTGCCTGTTTCACTCTGGTTTCTAGACGTGTGGTTTTATTGCCATTTTCATGCAGGGTCTCTTCCTCTCCTGTGCCACACTTTTTAAAATTTTTTTTTCTCCTATGTCTGTTCTAGTACTTGCAGTGCCAGAGAGAGCTCTGTAGTCATGAGACCAAAATGACTTCTTTATGGTTACACTATTTTCCAAAGCAGGGCAGCTGCCTGCAGGCAGCCTGTGAGAGCGGCTCCTAGCCCACACTGAACTTCAGCCAGTGTTTGGAAACCTGCTAATGGGCAGAAGCCAAAAAACTGTGACAGCAGTTTTTAACTATGGATGATTGTGGGATGAGACTCTAGTTTGTTAGTACAAATGTAGCATCTTTGTCCAGCTAGATCCAGTCTCTCCAGCCCCTTGCAGAGTTTAGCTTTTGCTAGTCAGCATTTTACTTAAACTGGTTGATCCAAGTGGGAGTTTGAGTGAGGATCCCAGGAATACTGACTCCCTTATCACGGTAATTACTGAGGTGAAAAAAAAATAAATCTCTGTAGGCAACAAACCTTCTGCAAGGTGTCTTCAGGAGTTTTGTCTCCTAAATTTCAGGTCTCTGTTGGTTGCAGGAAGTTTTCAACATGTTTATTAGTTTACCAAATGTTGAAATTTTTCAAGAAGATGGCAAGAAGTTGTTCTACGTGTTAGGTCTGTTTCTGTTTTGGTTTTTGGTTTTGGTTTTTTTTTTCTTTCTTCATTTTCCTCCTAGCTATGGTACTACAGCATTCAGGAGTGGGAAAGAAAAGTGAGAAAGCTTTAAAGAAAAGCATTACTAGGATATTTTAAATTAACTTTTTTCCTCTGTTGCTGCACAAAGCAAGTTAAGTAAACCTTTTGGGAGAAAATGCTTCATTAAAAGATGACAGTTGGGTATCAAGCATGGAAAGTGATTAATCCCCAAAGAGTTATCTTCAACTGCTTATGATTTTCCTAAAATAAGAGGATTCTGTAAAATAATAAATAAATAAGCAGAATGTTGGCTTTGTTAGCTCTGCCTGAACTTCTACAACTTGTTGGCTTTAAATATGGGATATGTTGAAGGTCTCATGCTGCCCCTAGTGTAATTTCAGAATCTTGATGTCTCTTATTTATCCTTCATCCTTTAAAGGACTGACTCTGGTGCTTTTAAGTAAAGATGATCAGTGGGCTGAAGGTACGTGGCTGCCTGAATGAGCGTTCATGATCTAAATATATTTTCTGTAGATCAAACGTAAGGTTGACTGGTACTATCCATATATTTTGTTCTGAATTGAAGGTACGTGGCTGCCTGAATGAGCGTTTATGATCTAAATATATTTTCTGTAGATTAAACGTAAGGCTGACTGGTACTATCCATATATTTTGTTCTGAAAGAGTTAATTTTCTAAACCTATAAATGAGGCAAATTCCTCTCTTCCTATCTTCTAATCAAGGCAAATAAAGGGAGCTCTTTAAGAAAAGCTGCACATTCTTCTGTCAGTCTCTTCCACTCCCCTTCCACACCAAAAAAAAGAAAAAATGCTGCTATTACTGTATGTAAAAGTATATTCTGGTCAGGAGAACTAAAAGCGGTTTTTGAATGGATTAGTGGCGAGAGAAAATGAGGAAGCTGATGTTTGCGGATTAAAATGTTAAGCTTGAAAGATAAAAGTTATCCATTAAAAAGATCTGTTGTGAAGAACAAGGAGGAGTTTTTGTAACACATTGTGGGAATTCATTGCTACGTATGGATGATAAGACGATTCAAAATGGTGCAGAAAAAGCAGAAGTGCAAAATATTTCTGTACTCCGTGTTGTGACAGCATTCATGGCATTTTTCTGTTCCAGGAGTAAGCAGCTCTAAGTTTTAGTGTAGTTTTTAAAGGTGAGTATGGTGCATTCAAAATGTTTTAAGTAATTTCCCATGTGAAACTTACTGATGTTGATACTGAAGTAAACCACAGTGTTACCAGCAAAGCTTCCTGGGGTAGAAGATTATTAATGTGCTGAAACACATTAAGCTGATCGGCAGGGCATTGATCCAAGGTACAATCACAGAATTTCTTGCATCAGATGTAAACACTGATAAATTACAGGATTGCAGTATGGAGCCAGGCAACAGGACTTCAAGGGAGCTGCTGTGGTGGTTTGCTGAGTCTGATTGGCTAATGTTTCTAGTAAACACATTTGGATATCTAGCTGATTTGTTTTAGATTATAAAATTGGTCAGCAGAGGCATAGAGGAGTGCTGCTGTTGAGTAAGTAGACTAAGCAAGTCCTGGATTTTAGTGCTGTATGCTGACATACCATGTGTTAACTAATCTCAATGAGTAACTGTGAATGAGTAATCATTTTCCAGAGAAGCTGTTTCTAAAGTGTTCTGCCTCTAGATGTAGCACTGGTCAGGTTTCCTGCTTATAGGTAAACCGTAAGAAAAGATTATTCTGCTTTTGTATAGCTTGTAACAGGCTCATTGGTTGCAAACAGCCTCTATCTTTGGAGGCATCTGCGCTGCATAAAGGCCAACACCACGACAGCGGCCTGTCAGGTCCCTTTCCCAGCACTGGTATTGCATGTGCCCCTCCTCGTGTCCCAAAATTATTTTGATCGTGGTCTTGTGCTGCTGCTCTTTGCCCTGCACTTTAATGGAGATTTTTCCCATTCCCCAAAACCTGAGAAACTTCTTCAGCTTCAGTTGCAGCTAAGGTGGAGGCGGTATGATGGAGTCCTCCTAAAGTTACAGCAGCTGCAGCATGTGCCTTGTAGGATCCAGCGTGTCATTTTGCCAGGCCTGTTACACCTTCCCTTTCAACGTGCTGCAAGGGGATCGGCAACTGGGAATGGGGAGGAAGCAGCTGTAGCATTTAATAAGCAGTAAGCGTTGTTTAGTTCTGATCCTTTGCTGCGGGAGGAATGCACTCCATGGACGCAAGCCTGAGCCAATATTCAGGTGAGTCTTCAAAGAAGTTTGAGATCGTTAATTGTGCTGTTAGATACAATGACGGGGCGACTGCAGAACTGGCAGTGGGGTGTTGCACGCTGTTTCAAAGCACTTGTGGTCTCAGCCCTCTTGCTGAGGCCTTGGTGGGTGTTTGCCACCCTTAAAGACTCCCCTCCAGGCAGGACAGAGCAAACTCCCCAGTTTGTGCCCAGTGTTGCTCTTCTCCCAAGGATGAATATATGACTTAAGTCTTGGAGGTCATCAGGTTGGTGTCTGATAAGCGTGATCAAATATTCAAAGTTAAAAATTCACCATGACTCTGTATTTCTTTCCGGAAGTACATAGGTATTATTATTGCCATGGGGCTTGGTGATAACCTATCGGTTCAGTGCGTGCTTGCACGTACTTCAAATACTTGACACATCAGCGGTGGCTGGTTGTGAACTTTTTTCTTCTGAATGCTGCACGCCAGGTTTTTGACAGGCATTCAGCACCAGTACATTTTTGTGGGATGTAGAAGGTGTGTTGTCTAAGCCGTGCCAATGAGCTTCATTATACTTGCTGTGTCATGAAAAATATTTGTGTGCTTGAAAATCTCAAGAAGATTGGGCAATAGTCTGTTATGGAAACTTGCATTTCACAGGAAGAAAACAGTTTCAAGTTGATGGCATGGTTTCGTATATGACATTTTTTTAGGTAAATAATAAAACCATTTTTTAATGGATTAATAGCTAGAGACCTCAACTGAAATTAGAGCCCCCTGTGCTAAAAATGTGCAGATATTTTTCTACCTTTTTTCTCTTTAACTCAGTGTAGAAACCTCCACATGTTGGATGATCCGGGAGGGCCCTCTCCTTGTGGTGGGCGATGAGGCAGCCTTTCTCCCCGGC